CTATTCCTACTAAAACTACTAACAACTTAGCATTTCTTGTTGTTATTGTTATTCCTAATCTTTCCAAACTAAAATAAAATTTTAAACCATTAGAAATAATTTTGAAAAACAATTTTAAACCATTAGAAATAATTGTAATAAATTAATTTTATACATAAGTAAAATTTTTACCTAAAAACGATTAACAATATTAGTGCAATGGCTGGAGCAATATTAAACATGTTTGTAACAAAAATAGAAGATATCAATGACAAGCTTTCTCCATAAAAATTTAGGGATGTTGTTTCCCTATATATATATATAAATAGTCCATAAAAAAAAAGTTTGGCAGAATACCAACCAGTCAGTGGCCTATTCCTTTCAAAAATGAGAGCCACGGGAATCATTATAGTTGTGGATAAAATCCATCGACAAGCCATAAGAATTCTCATATTCATCATGTCATTTGCAACCAACTTTACAAGTATATTCATCCTGATAGTGGTCACTCAGAGCAAAATCATCAAAAAGATTAGTTTCAAACCATGCAAAACTTTCATTTATATTGCCATCTATCTAAAATTTATTGTAGCTACATATGCACAATTCTACATCACTTAACAAATACGTTGCAATGTATGTATGTATTGTATTGTATGTATGTATGTGTGTGTGTGTGTGTTTATGTATGTATGTATATACATGCAATTAACATTCAATAGTAAATTTACTTCCTACCTTAAAAACGGGCTATGTGTATATATTTGCAACCAACTTTACAAGTATATTCATCCTGATAGTGGTCACTCAGAGCAAAATCATCAAAAAGATTAGTTTCAAACCATGCAAAACTTTCATTTATATTGCCATCTATCTAAAATTTATTGTAGCTACATATGCACAATTCTACATCACTTAACAAATACGTTGCAATGTATGTATGTATTGTATTGTATGTATGTATGTGTGTGTGTGTGTGTTTATGTATGTATGTATATACATGCAATTAACATTCAATAGTAAATTTACTTAAAAACGATTACAATATTAAGTGCAATGGGCTGGGAGCAATGTATTAAAACATGGGTTTGTCGAACAAAAATAAGAAGAATGATCAATGACAAAGCTTTCTCATAAAAAATTTAGGGAATGTTGTTTCCCTATATTATATATACTAAATGGTCTCCAAGTAAAAATATAATGTTTGGTCAGAATACCCAGACTCATTTCATGGCACTTACTTTTACTTTTCACGTCTGTCAAAAATGAGAAAGTCCACCGGGAATCCGATTATAGTTGTGGATAAATCCATCGATCAATGGTAAACAGTGGAGCCATAAAGATTCTCATATTTCATTGCATGCGCGCGTCATGGCTTCATTTTTGCCTACCAACCTTTACAGTAGATAGTAAGGGCGAGTGATAGCGTTCATGGCCCTGATAGTGGTCACTGTATCCGCATATCGAGTGGATATTTGCTGAATGGGTGCAGGAGATCGGGCGCAGAGCAAAGTCATCAAAAAGATTTAGTTTGCAAACTGCATGAGCGAAAACTTTTCAATTATATTGGCCATCTATCTAAAATTTATTGTGAAGCTACATTATGCAACAATTCTTAGTTACCAGTCACGTTAACAAGATACGTTATGCAAATGTAATTTGTAATGGGTAATTGGTATTTTGTACTGTATGGTGACGTGTGGTGTGTGTGTGGTGTTTATGTTCTGTTATGTAATAGCTAGAATACATGCACTATTAAGCAATTCAAACGTAGTGAATTGTACTTCACTGAAGGCCTCGGTTTAAAAATCGGGGCTATGTGTATAGATATGTGCATTGCAACCAACTTTACAAGTATATTCATCCTGATAGTGGTCACTCAGAGCAAAATCATCAAAAAGATTAGTTTCAAACCATGCAAAACTTTCATTTATATTGCCATCTATCTAAAATTTATTGTAGCTACATATGCACAATTCTACATCACTTAACAAATACGTTGCAATGTATGTATGTATTGTATTGTATGTATGTATGTGTGTGTGTGTGTGTTTATGTATGTATGTATATACATGCAATTAACATTCAATAGTAAATTTACTTCCTACCTTAAAAACGGGCTATGTGTATATATTTGCAACCAACTTTACAAGTATATTCATCCGAATAGTGGTCACTCGGAGCAAAATCATCGAAAAGATTGATTTCAAACCATGCAAAACTTCCATTTATATTGCCATTTATCTAAAATTCATTGTAGCCACATATGCATAATTCTACAATATCACATAACAAATATGTTTCAATATATGTATATGTATATATGCATTGTATTATGTGTGTGTGTGTGTCTCTCTATGTATGTGTATATACATGCAGTTAACATTTAATAGTAAATTTACTTCCTACCTTAAAAATCGGCTATGCGTATATATTTATTGAATTATGGATTTCACAATACCGATATGCATATTTCTAATTTTAAGGTTTTCTTACAATCCATAATTCAAAACCCAAATACGTTTCTATTTTTGGGTTTTCATATGTATGTATGTATGTAGGGCTTCTATGGGTCATTTAACAAACAAAAATGAGTTATATAAAGTAATGTACCTTTATTTGGTAGTAGGAGTGGTGTTAAAAGAATTGATTGTCATTAATTATAGTATTCAAAGTTAGAAGTATCTTGTCGGAATGCAGTTTATTAGAGTTGTGATATGGAAAAAAATATTTACTTTTCTATCTATTACTATTATTGTTGTCAAAATTTGTTTGATAAAGCCTGACTTTTCTTGAAGAGGTAAGTTAAGCATTTAAACTTTTTTGTCAAATCAAGGAAATTGAAGTCTTTTAAGTAAAAATCTTTGCATTTACTAAGTGCTGTTCTTTATCAATAGAAACAGAAGGAAATCCTATCAAGTCGGCCTTTTGAGAGATGGGTTGTCCTCAATTTTAATTTAGAATATACTTAGATATTTGTTTTAGACTCTAGGAATAATAAATTCTAGACTTAAGATATTTGTTCTAAGTCAAATCTTTGCATTTAAGATATTCTCTATCGATATACACAAAATGAAATCCTATCAAGTTGGTCTTTTAAGAGATGGGTTGTCCTCAATCTTAATTCAGAATATACTTAGATACATATTTTAGATATCCGAACTACATATACTGAAACCTTCACCTACAGAGAGATGCGCACTATTAGCTTCGGCCCTATAGTGTCCATAGAGTTCTGTCCTTATAGAGACATCAACTTTTCTTATTGGAGTCTGTTGCTCGCAACCTAGCTCACATAAGGCTCAGTCCTGCATACTAGCGTCGGGGAGGTGGAGAGTATTACACCGAGTCTTCCTTAGCATGTCCTTCGACCATCTACCATCCAGCATACTATTCTCATCTCCTATGGCCTTAGAATACTCCTTAGGCCTATCATGGTATGGCTCCACAATAATAGCAAATTCTGAATCTTAAATATTTGTTCTAAGTCAAATCTTTGCATTTCCTTCGACCATCTACCATCCAGCATACTATTCTCATCTCCTATGGCCTTAGAATACTCCTTAGGCCTATCATGGTATGGCTCCACAATAATAGCAAATTCTGAATCTTAAATATTTGTTCTAAGTCAAATCTTTGCATTTACTGAGAGATATTCTCTATCGATGTAAACAAAAGAAAAAACTATCAAGTCGGCCTTTTGAGAGATGGGTTGTCCTCAACCTCAATTCAAAATATACTTAGATATTTGTTTTAGACTAGTAATAATAAATTCTGAATCATAAATATTTGTTCTAAGTCAAATTTTTGCGTATAAGATATTCTTTGTCAATATGAAGGAAATCCTATCAAGTCGGCTTTTTGAGAGATAGGTTATCCTCGACCTTAATTTAGAATATACTTAAATATTTGTTTTAGATGCTCATACTGTCTCTACCGAAACCTTCACATATGGAGAGATGCGCACTAAAGGCATTTGGCCCTATGGTGTCCATAGAGCTCTTTTCCTATGGAGACACCAACTCCTCAACCTAACTCACTTAAGGATTGGTCCTACGTACCGGCCCCAGGGCCATAGAGAGTATTACAACGGGTCTGCCGCTACTATGTCCTTCGACCATCTACCATCCAACATATTATTTTCTTTTGTTTATAATTATCATTAGATCTAGTGTGGTATGGCTCCGGTAATAACAAAATTTGAACCTTATTTTTCTAAGTTAAATCTTTGCATTTATTGAGAGATATTCTCTATCGATATAAACAGAAAAAAATTCTATCAAATCGGTCTTTTGAGAGATGAATTGTCCTCAACCTTAATTCAAAATACTTTAGTAATAACAAATTCTAAATGTTAGTATCCAATCACTTCAAAAATTATTGGATCTCCTATAAAATTTTCTTTAAAGCCTTTTAGGGATAAATTTTAGGAGCATTTAGATACCTACCTAGCATCCCAACCGTGAAGCTAATGTTGAACCTTGTGCAGGTTTGGACATTGGACAAACATCAAAATGTTAAAAAAAGAAGGGCATAATTATATATTAGTGTCTAAACTTTCACTCTTTTTTTCTATTTTGGTGTCTAAGCACAATTGAGTATCTAAAACTTATAAAATAATGCAATTTAGGTGTTGACATGCAAACTGGAAAAATAATTATGCACTTACTGAACCCAATTTTTATAACAGGCATCTTTGCGAGAAATTGTTGGACTTTTTGCCTTGTAGCCCATTAAATCATTTATTTAATTTTATTACTCAGCATTTTGGTAAAAACTAAATATGTGGTTTCATATAGTTTTGTTAGATACTATATTCAAAAAGAAAAACTTTGTATTCAAAATATGAGATTAGTGTACCCCTGCAAGTGAACGGCGAAACAACAAATTAAAATTGGGCCGATTTTTATTGACTTTTTATAAATTTCAGCCATTGCCTAGAAAGCAACAATTGCATACTTTTATAAGTTTCAAACTCGTTTTCCTGCTGAATTCGTCTCATTTCTGTATAGGAACATCTACTGCTGAATGTTTATGCATATTAAGAACCGTAAAACTCTTTTGATAAAGCTTTTACAAGAGAATATTAAAAACTTTCGCGACAATTCACATCACATCAGATGCCTCTCCCATGCCTTCTTTCGAAATTCTGTGAAAACCTTTCATGTCATGCAGAATACTCAAATCATTTTGTAGCAAATCGACATTGTTTGCTTTACATCAATTATGAAATCATTGAACTCGCTATGTCCTTAACAGAAGCTCATTTAACTTTTCTTTTCAATTATGATAGCTTCAGTTACTTATTAAGAAAGGTTGTTATCACATTCTTTTGGTGTATCTCCAAATCGTAAGAATTCCATGAGACAAGTAGAGGTTTTTCTTTATGATCAATACCCCTTTTCCAATTTAATTTTTGATAACAAATCTAGTTTTAGATCGCTTGACATTGCCATTCCAGTCGTACTTGGTACTATTAGCATACAATTTGTTTAGACCCTTTATTAGTGCATTCTTCGTCATTCATTTTCCAGAGATCTATGTTTGGTCATTCAAACGGTGTCTAACATCATCCAATCTCTCTTCAAAAGCTTTTCTTTCAATTTCCCTATAAAATCAAAAATATCAGTTGAAAGGTATCATAAATTAATTTGAATTTTGATAAAAATTAAAATTTGAATAAATTTCTAATGAAAATTTTTTATTTAAATAGATAAATAAAACTCGAATTTCATTTTTGAGTAAATTCAACTTTTAATTAAAAAGCAAATAAATTAGAAATATAATTTGATTAGATAATTAGCATCAATTAATATTTATCCAGTTACATTTAGCTCAAGTATAAACTATCAAATAATAATGGATGGAAAATCTAATTTGAGCTTTGAATTTCATTTGCTTGGTATTATTACAAATTTCATTCGATGAAAAATCAACAATTTTTAAAACAAATTCAAAACAATGGATCACAGAATGAAAAATGTATGTGGTGTTTCCAGGATTAGATGACACAGAAGAAGCCATTAATCAGGATAAGCCACAAAATTAGGTTATCGCACCCTAGCCATTATACCAAGAGGAATTAATTATCCCCCAGAATTGGTAATGGGTGCAATTGTGAATTAAGATTTGGGATTAGAGCTCAGTGGAAGGAGAAGTCGTTAATTAACAAAGCTCACGGCGAGTCCCAAACGGAACCCGTCCACTGCTCTTTAAACACATTTAGTGCTTAACCTCATCACAGCATCCAAATCCCTAATTTGGCATCCAAATCCCTAATTCTTAAAAAATAAATAAATAAATAAAAATTGAAGGCTTCAGTGTGTGTAACAATCAGATCATTGATAAATAAATTTATCTCACTGAAATCCGCTAAGATAATTTATGTTATCATCATAAGCCTATCTAATCAAGATTGAAGACAAGATTTAAGTTTTGAAAACGATATTGACGAAAAGAAGAAGAAGCAAGCTTGCTCAGACAGCCAAGGGTTAGTCTTCAAACTAATGGGAAAGAAGAGTCCCAATCAGAAACTCTAGTCCACCACAATGGATTCATCACTGCAATTGCTTCGTTAAATTTAATTTTAAGAGCTATCGAGAGAGAAAAGTGAGTTACCTGATCGACGCAGGCAGAGAGATCAGGACGAGAGTAACAGAGGCTTTGGTCTGCATATATATACAGAAAAGTGAGAGGCCGCGTTAGAAATTAGGGTTTCGCTTTAAAGAGAAGAATTTGAGTTGAGTTGAGTTTCTGCCGTTGGATTTGGATTTCGGGGTTTATGGCTTGAGCCCATTAATGAAAGCCCATTACAAAGGCCTGTAATTTGGCCATATTAGTGACACTATGCTACCCGTTTGTTCAAATAGAACTACTATTACAACCCACGTGACGCACAAAATAATATTTAAGAATGAAATAATTTTTTATAAATTTGACATAAACGCAACATAAAAATTAAATAGTTGACACAAATACGACACGTTTAACCTGTTTAATATCATAAACAGATTAGTTGGATTGTGTTAACCTATATATAATTCATGTAACCCACTTAATATTATAAATATGTTAAGTGGATGTGTTGATCTATGTACGACTCACTTAACCTGCTTATAGTATTTTAACTTTTAACCTATTTAACTCTAATCATATTTAAAAATAAATTTCCACATGTAAAATGCATAAATTCTTCAAGATTTATAATTAAAATAAAACTCTAATCATATTTTTAAAAATAAAATTTCCACATGTAAAATGCATAAATTCTTCAAGATTTATAATTAAATTTATAATTAAAATAAAAAAGTAATATAGTAATAAAATTTAAATAGATTTAGTTGGAGTATTTATATCTAACACTAAAATTATCTCTTTATTCTTAAATAAACGGGTCACTCGCCTAATCCACGTGTCAACCCACAACACAACGTATTTATATTCATGTCATAAATGAGTGATTTGTTTATGATACGAACTCGTTTAACATCAACTCTAATCCATTTATTTTGCATGTTAGGCGAATCGTATTCACATATTGTGACCCATTTTGGCACCCTGCATCAAAAAATGCACACACACTATTAATGTATTTTCAATAGTGATAATAATTTTGAGAATTTAACTAATTATATTGAAATAAGAAATTAATTAAGTATTTTTTATTAATGTTTGTGATTTATTAATAAATATTGTTTATTTATTTTAAAATATTAATATATGTATACTTATTTAGTTGTAGTGTGTTCTAGGCATGTGGATTTCCTTACTTTTTTTAAAAATTGTCGAATTTCATGTTGTTCCTGTAAATCGCGTACATGAGTGTTTTTTTAATTTATTTATTCTTTTTTTATTAATGAATAATCAAAAAAAAGAAAGGACTAAAAATTTTTTTTCGAAAAAACTTGTTACTTTTTTTTTTGGACATTAAAAGAAAAACAAAATTTAATTTTCTTCACAAGGTTTAATTTATAGTTTTTTTTTCCTCTCTAATTTGAAGAGCAAAATTATCACATTTTTTTCCCCTTATAGTTCTTTCTTATTTCCAAATTAAAATAGTGTTTGCTTATTAATATTAGTTTAGTTTTTTTTTCCTCCATATGATATTATCTGAAATAAAATTGTTTTTTTTTTTCCTTATAATCCGTACGATGCACAAAGTAATATTAAAATATGAAATAGTATTTTATAACATCATTCAAAAAAATAGTAAAATAGTAAAATTATATAATAAAATGATAACTTGTATCTTATTGAGATATGCTTAAAAGTTACGATGCTAAGATATGTCTTCTTAAGTATCACGCGAAGCTTTTCATAAGATATGCAATAGCAAAAGTCATGTATGGTATAACCTACATAAAAAAAATGCATACACACTATTAATACATTTTTCAATAGTGATAATAATTTTGAGAATTTTACTATTGAAAAAAGAAATTCAAGTATTTTTAATTTTATATTTATGATTTATTATAAATGATTGTTTATTTATTTGAAATATTAATGTATTACTTATTTAATATAGTGTGTCTTAAGCATATGGATATCCTACTTTTTAAATATTATTGTGTCCGTACGTTCCCGTATCTCGTGTCCCGTGTCCGTGCAACCTAGCTTTTGGTATGTGAGACTACTCCTTACACCAAGCTAATCAATCAAGGTTTTTTTTATTACTAATAAAAATAAAGTGTTTTTTTTTAATTTGCTTTTGTGTCATTAAAATAAGAAATTAAGTATTTTTTTATTTTATGTTTATAATTTATTTTATAATTATATAAATGATTGTTTATTATTTTGAAATTTTATAATTTATTATAAATGATTGTTTATTTATTTGAAATATTAATATGTAACTTATTTAGTGTACTATGTCCTAAGCGTGTGGATGTCCTACCATCTTTAAAAATTGTCGTATCTGTACATTCTTGTATCTTGTGTCCCGTGTCCGTGCAACTTAACTCCCGATATATGAGATTACTCCTTACACCAAGTTAATCAACCAAGATTTTTTTTATTACCAATAAAAATAAATTATTTTTTTAATTTGCTTTTGTGTCGTTGAAATAAGAAATTAAGTATTTTTTATTTTATGTTTTATAATTTATTATAAATGATTGTTTATTTATTTGAAATATTAATAGATTACTTATTTAGTGTACTATGTTTAGGCGTGTGGATGTCCTACTGTCATGACCCGTTTTCATGAGCCGGACCGGCACTAGGGTCCAATTAAGCTTAAGGCCACCAAGGCCTGTAGTAAGCCTAAACTACAAAATTCAATTGATGAATTTCAAATTATCAGCCCATATTGCTATACATGATAAATCTCATAATTTTATTATACTTTGGTCCAAATCTAGCAACTTAAACATTTTATAGCTCGAGCCCAATTATAATACGAATCATTCATAATATGGCTAACTGGTTTATGTATTCTCATAAATAAATAACTAGACATCTATCTATGTTTATCGGATACTATCCTACAACTGCGAAGTTCACTAATAGATAAATATAAACAAGTTCTCATACATATAACTATATAATAAATTGATTATTGAAATTTTAGGAAATTTCTTTTCTCGCTCTGCGGTGAAGAAAATAGAGCATCAGCCGGGACAAAGAGGAATCTACTTCCTGAAAATGTTACACAAAAGAAATATGAGTTTAAAAACAAATAATAATTATTGTATAATACAAGCATTCACACGAAAGGCTTCCTAAAGTACTAAAATGAATACTCAACCGGTCAGGCATATGGCACAACATCAGCATCCACAAATGATTACACTTTTAAGTAATCAAACAAGTGGAAATTAGTTAGTGGCGCCACTGAAAACCCCAACGAGCCATCCTCTCACATGGCCCGCCCTCAAACGTGTTTACTTGGGAGCTGATTCCCCATACCTGGCTGACCGATCTAATCCTCACTTGACCAGCTGAAACACCCTTAATTTTTATTTTCGAAACTTTTGAATTATTATTAAATCAAAAATCTGAATTTTCGACTGTCCGGACTGTAAATACTGTTTAATTCTAGATTGTCCGGACTGTAAATACTGTTTAATTCTAATATGAGCCCAAGTTTACGAAGTTGGGCTCAAGTCCAAAACATATTATTAAATATTTGCCGAGTGGAGAATCTTTAGAAATTTTTAAGAGTAAATATGGAGCATTAATTATTAAATTATTAAAAATGTATATGTATATGTGTGTGATTACTATATTAAATTAATTATTCCAAAAATCTAATATTATTATTATTATTATTATGACTATTTAGTAAATTGAGGAATTATTCTAGAACCTAACTAAAGAGTCAAAATAAATCAAATCGGAAAATCTGCAAATTGACAATATCATAGAATTAGAACCAAACCGGTTCGAATCGAACCGGAATGGGTGTCTTAGAAGGCTTTATATTTTCCTTTCTTTCTTTTCTTTTTTTTTTTCTTTTCTTCTTTCTTTTCTTCTTCTTCCAGCGAGGGTCGACCTCACCCCTCTCGCTCTCTCTGCTCGTTTTGCCGACTCCTAAAGGACCAGCTGCCCTCCTCGCCGTCGACTCCTCGCCAACGTCACCCTTGCCGCAGCAACCCGGCCTTCCTTTCCCTTTCTCTCCTTTCCGCTTCTCCGCTTCTGGTGAGCGCAAGAATCACGGCGAGGCTGGGACTTCAACCCGATCGAGATAGCGTCTTCATCCTTCTCTCCGAGCGATTCCGGCGACTATTGCTGACAAGGTAAGCCAATTTTTGACCTTCTTCAGTAGAATTTATGAGTTCTTGCTGAATGATGAAGGATTTGATTTATGAATTAAGTTAGCCTTGGAACTAAATCCCTAGTTACTACTGTTCATGCAATTTTACTAAGGAGAATTTAATTCTTCAATCTAATTTAAGTTATAGAACAATCTACTGAATATATTAGCATGAATAAGGTGATTTATAATTTGGAATTCGGTATGGCATGGTATGGGCATGGAATTGACAGCAGTAAGCTTCAATCCAACGGTTATTTTATATTATATTATATATATATACGCGTATTATATATATATATATATATAATATTATGAAATTTGAAGGAACTCAGATTTAATTGTAAATTCTTAAGTACAAGCTGAAAATTGATTATGAAATGTTGGTAAGGTATGTTTTGGTTTGATTACAATTTTTCATTGACGGTGTTAAAACAAATTTGATATGACAGTAAGCTTAATGCTTAACCATTTGGTTTAAGTTATTGCCTTTAATTATCAGATATCAGATATTATTCAATTAAACTCTTGTTGGAGAAAGAGTTCGTGGCCGTAATGTACAGGCTATATTCAGAAAATCTTGATTTTCTTTAGCTTGGCAGTGGGACTAGTTGGTAAATTTATGGACTTTTGCTAAATGAGTTTATATTAATGCTATATTCTATTTATGATTCGTATTTCGACATTGTTGTTGCTAAGGTTAAGGATGTGATGACAAAGAAATGTGAACTATTAATTTGGGCTGACAAGTAAATTTATTGGAATGTTATTTCTTGCAGCAATAAGTTGGATAATTTTGCAGCAATAAAGTTGGATATTGGTTAATACGCAAGTTTCTTGACGAATATATAAATGAAGGAATTAGTTTATAGAAATTGAAGGGTTGAGTAAGAACCTGATTTTTTTTTAGGATGGCCCAATATAAATTTTTGTAATGATTTGATGAAAATAAAGTTGTATATTA